CTCTTAGGAGCGTTTTGGGGAAATAGCTGGAGAAAATAAACCCTCGTGCGGGGAAATTTTTTAAAATCACGGCAGATTCTGTACCTCTGAGTCCTTCATCGGGAACTCGAATCGTATGTGTTCATTGGTGAATAAAAACGACCAATCGACTTTCAGAATGACTTTTCTCGCTTATTTATAAGGACATGTACTAGTCATGTTCCGGCCAATCCTAAGATTCTTGGAGACGCTCTATCGATTGATGGGTATATGTGGGGATCCCTGTCTTGCCCATGAGTGAAAACTTGAGATATGTAGCAGAAGGAAGGACAAATGAGAAGTACTTACCCTATGTGTTTGTATTGGATTGTAGGGAAGAGTCATGATTTTCGGATGGATTTTTATCGCCAGGAGCTAGGCAAAACAAAACGGTGAATGAGTAGTGACCATATGTGCAATTCGATTGGTCAATTTTTGACCAATCAAATTTCAGGAACACTTTTCTGTGTAATTATACGGACATGTACTAATTAGTAGTAGAATAAACAGTTTAAAAAAGCCTGATGTCTTCATTAACCATTTAGTGTTTGTGTCTGCTCAATCAGAGTATTAGTTTCTTTAGAATGATATTAGAATATAGTTGTTTGTGGGAAAGTTTAAACATTTTTTTGAAGAATCTAAAAATATAATTACTTTACTTAGTATGCATTTTGAGAGTCTAATTTCAAATGTGGTCAGAATTCTAGCAAACTACAAGTGATTTCGTATGTAAAACTTACTTTTCGATTTACTCAGCCGGAAAGAAGCAACAACAGAAGTCTAAATTAGAACGGTGAGCAATGCCAAATTTGATGAGAACGTAGTGTTGCAAATAGTCCGATGGCTTCGCTCATATATGGTTCATGCATCGTGGATCGTAGTCGGACTAGATCATCGTTTTATTTGTCGAATAGTATGGCTATAATTCGATTTTTCATAGAAAAGAAGGTCTAATATACATGCAGTTTTTTACGTTCCGATTGGATTAATAGTATTTAAGACTCGTATTTTCTCTCTTCGATACAAACACGTTATTTTTGTTATTTTTAGATGTGAAAAAAATCCGTTAATCAACAGAATGTTCGAAATCAACAAATAAATGCTTTGTTCGCTATTCTTCTATAGGGAAACACATTGTCATTGACAAATCGATTCACTTAAAGTTCGTTTTTCTACTTTTATCAAGTATTTACATCAAACGATTGATTTCATTATTTTTCTTCGCAAATACTAAATAGCATAAATAAAATCCTTTAAGTGTTTCTTGTTTCCATCCAATGACGTAAAAAGAAACAAGTATTCAATATAAAAAAATTGAATTTAACAACAGAACAATACTAACACTTCAAACTCGATACACAAGTGGCCCAGGTTTCGTGTAACTTTACTATTCATCGAGTTTTCACTAATCTCACATGTTTATAACCACTCGGATATATCAGCACTTCACTGACCTACGAGTGACTTGAAATTAGTTCTATACTCCACGAAGATGACGCTGAATATTCATTTGTCTATCAAACCAATGCATTGCATTTCAATAGAAAAATGTGCCGAGTTCGATAACGAATGAAGAAACAATTGAACTAACATTTTTCGTAATTAGGAAAAGTGTTTTGTTGCATCTCGATATAGATATTATTGAATAATAGCAGTGTAAAATTTCCACCACTGTGGGAACTTTTCCAGAAAAATAGAAGTTCGACTAGAAAGCCAACCAATTTCGTAGGTGAAGGATGTGAGGTGTCGATGTGGTTAACACAAATATTAACACCCACACCACATTCAATTTTTTGACTCGATGCAACAATCAATGATACTGAAGAAAATAAAATAGCTGAACTAACAACCTACTCTTCGATCAATCATTTGAAAACGTTCAACGATAAGAACAAATGTAAACGATAAAAAGTTTTTAATTACATCGTCTAAAAATGCAAATATTCATCGTGTTTCTTTAGATGCAGCATAAAAATGAAAAAAATCTTCAGAAGGCGATAAAACAAAAGCAGAATCAGATGAAAAAAATTAACTGTTTATTATACTATAGATTGATAACCAGTATAAAATATTGATTGAAAAGCATGCCATAACTCAATTATCGATATTCGTCGCCGCAGTCACCAATAGTCCGATACAAATCTCGTGATTTTCGAGATATTTCATCTATCTTTTCATTGTCGTCGGCATCGAGATTGAATTCAAATACTTTGGTATTGTCTTGCAGATGTTCGCTTAATCCTAATCTAGCACCAATGATTACACCACCTACTGCGGGTTTGTCTAAAATGTAACGCACAGCGACATTAGTGATGCTGACATTATATTTATTTGCAATTTGTTTGAGAACGGTAAGTAATTCTTGAAATAATTGCCATCCTCCCCATTTATCGACCATATTCTTGTATTTTTTCAAACTAACGGTTGTCAAATCTTCACTTCGTGGTTCCGCTTTGCCTAAATACTTATCCGATAACAAACCACCGCAGACTGTACCGTAAGTGAACAGTTTAATATTATTCTGCTGACAGAATTGTATCATATGCATCTCTGGACGACGATCTATTATGGAAAATTGTACTTGATTAGAAACAATGTTAATGCCAGCTTCGTGAATGATTTTTAAACGTTCAGTATCGAAATTTGTCAAGCCCAAATGTTTAATTTTGCCTTCTTTCTGAAGTTCCGAAAGATACCGTAAAGCATCAAGGTAACTATTGTTGCGATAGTCCCACCAATGAAACTGAAGCAAATCTATGGATTCTACACCCATCCTTCTCAAAGACTTGTTGATATTTTCTTCAACCAACTTTTTCGTCATTTTTTTTGGCTGAGGCACCCATTTGGTGAAGATTTGCAGATTATCTAGAGCTGCTTTACCACGAACAGAAAGTAGCTGACGTATAAACTCGCCCATTATATCTTCTGCTGGTCCATAAATATCCGCTAAATCCCATGTAGTAAATCCGGCATTCATATAATGAAACATGTCTTTTATAGCAGCTGTTCGGTCAATATGCCCATGGCCACCTGAAACTTGCCAAAGCCCATTTAAAGTGCGACAAATGTTCATATCGGGTGTAAGCTGTAATCGACTCAATGTGGATAATGCCATTACATGAATCTGAATGCGAGAGAATTTAAAAATAGTTAGTAAGAAGCTTTTGATGATGATCTGTATACATCGTTTTCTTCCTCTTATATTTCTATTTTTTTTCGTTCGCTATTCATTCATTGAATGAATAGTGAACGCAAAAAAATGCATATATAAGGTCGTGTTCTGCGTGCTGGCATCCCACTCCGCCTCTTTTCTCACGAAAAAGTAGGTTGTTGGTGAAAATATCCATGAATATATTGATTAATGTTGATATATCATAGAAAAAGATCACATAACACAAACTGATGTGCAGATCAGTCCAGTTGTATAGCTAAGAAGGGTAAAGTATATGATTTTAGTAATCAACTTCAGCGATGTTTTATATCCCTATTTGGGACCTAATATTTGTGGCTGCCAAGGGGAAGCAAAGCCGTTCAATTATATTTCCCATGTGAACTCGTCCTTTTCTCAAAATCTTGGCAAGTTTTTCTGGTTAAGATCGACATGTACAATGATAATATCAAGCTTACTTTTCTTGACCGTTTTTCTGGGCTCCTGGTAAGCTTGTGATGTGAATCTAACAATGGATAACTAACTCGTAGCGTAACGCATGCATCAAAGTGAGAAGAAGTTCCCAGGGTGACTAGACCTACCATACATTCCTGTCAGATCTGATGGGAGTTCTTCGACAAGATAGCTTTCAACAGTATGATGTCATAAGTTGAAGATTTCTGCTTATCAAATACTGATAAAAGTTTTCATATTGTATCCAGCAATATCTGATTCTTCAAAATTGCTGGGCTGATTACAGATCCCGTAGTATGCTGCTAGCTTACCTTACGTGATTGATTTACTGTCAAAATGAAGTAACCTCTCTCCTTCCGAGTTTCTCCGCATACAATCATATTGTGGACGATCGTGTATCTCCAAACCGTACACGGAGAAATATAATCGTATACGAAGAAATACCGAATAAAACGAAAGCTGTAGACGAGCTTTGCTTGTCCATAAATGATAGTGTTTCTGCGCACACGATTATGGAGTTATATAATCGTAATACTGGATGATGTGAAACGCCGTATTTCTCCGATTACAAGTGTGTTTGCTTGGCATGAGTTAATATTGGCAACGGTTTGATGATACTTAGAAGAAATCGGATATGATGGAACGCAATGGCAACAAACAGCGGTGTCCGATGACCAAAAAACAGGAGATCATACAATCTATCCAATACAAATAAGGCGTTTTCTACAGAACGCAGGAAGATGACCATATTTTACTCGAAAAAATAAAGCGTTTTCGATAGCACGGAGTTAAACGATTCCTTACAAGCCCCCATGCCTGGGCATTATTGCAACCAATACATTAATTTACGCTGGGAAACGGAAAAGTGAAACTAATATGCAAAAAATGATCAGAATCATGGAAGAATTGCTGAAAATTGAAAAAATACTTTACTCACAAGCGCAGTCATCAGAAAAAAGGAACAAAAAGCAAAAAAAGACATTTAATGAATTCTGATCGTTTCTATTTCTGTGTGCCTGGTTAGTCAGATACCACACAAATAGAATAGACTATTTTTCTAATGTTTTCCCGTTTTCTAATGCATACATAAGCATTGCACAAAAATCTCTATGAACAATTGAAATTTTCGTTTCTTTTTTTACTCTTTCAAGTCATATTCAACCTATATTGATCGCGAACGAGTTTTGTCGGATCTATAGTACTATTCTGCCGATGGGTTTCAGTTTTCTTCGGACGAAAACTGTATGCTTCTTTTTCTCCTTTTTTGTCCAAGAATGCTCAGTCTCTTTTTTTACAAAGTGTTGGTGAAATGCCAGTGTTCGTGTATAGTAACAGTAAAAATTGATTCCACTACTTCATACAGAGATGAATATACGGAAAAGACAACATGAATGATTTAAAAGTGGCAAACTTAGAATTGAAAAATAAATTCTCCGGTAATGTTGTATTTTGGTATGTGAAACAATCGATGTTCTCTTATACTACAGCAATCTTCAGTGGTAGTTTTTATTTCTTTGTATTTCATCAACTGTAATATATCAGTACTGTCTGATATATCTTTATCGTATCAAACAGAAACAAATTAAACAGACGAAGGTGAACCATTTTCTTTTAATGCTACATAACTTCTCTTTGCTTCAATACCCTTATTTCAAATAACAGCTAGTTGAACGTGAGCTGTTGTGCATAGTGTTTGTGGTTGTAAAAATTCAATTTTAAGTGTATCAATTATGTATTTTCATCCATAAACGTATATACCTTCATAGGTTTCCATACTAAATTGTGATGCTTTCTCGATCTGTTAAATTTTTCAAGCTTTTCAAGCGAAAAATTATCAGAAAAAAACTAATAGCTATATATTGCTTTTTATTCTCATTCTAATGCTTTTTATCTCTACAAAAATATCAAAAAAGAAATAAAATCATGCTAAGATACCAACATTACAAAATCAAGTGACTTTTGCTTTATTTTTATTTAGACATCGTTTGATAGGCTAACTACGAATGTGTGATATAAAATTTTGTACGCTATGTTTTAAACAAGAACTAAACGTAACTAAGTCAGAGATTGATGTTTGGTTAATTTTACTGTTAAACGTCTGTTCAGTGCGATTATTTCGAATATCCCCACTAGACCATGCTGATATGCATGGTTTATGAATAGATAATGCCCAGAGTCTAACTTCATTAGAACCACTGAAATCCAAGCTTCTTAAATAAGTATTTATTTAAACGAAAATAGAATTTTTCGCCTTGAATAGCTAAGTACCACAAAAAATTATTATATTCACCAATTTTAATCATGATATGCTTATGGAGAAGTAAACTAGATACCATATTTTTCATTAAAAATACACCTGCATCCTCTATTAGTCCGTATTTTTTCAAAAACTTCGTTTGTGGCCACTCACTATTTCCTATTGATCGACAATATTTGCCGATGAAAGATATGTTATTTGATGAATTTTTTTTCCTGCTAATGTCAAATATGACACTAAGTCACACTGCTGGTGTTGTGGTACTCGATTCAGACTATGAATTTCTCTTATTATTGTTAATTTTTTCACATGAAAATGAGTCATTCGAAACTCGGAGTTAATGTACAGCAGTTTTCTCTAAACAAAATGACATTAAAAGGCTTCTTTCATTTACTCCATCAATCAACTGGTATTCAGAAGAAGCCATGCAGAAAAAGAAACGAAATATTAAATATAAACTTTAAGAAAACGAAAGAAAGAGAACTTTTACTAATACTGAAAATGATTTGATACATTTTTTATTTAATTAATTGTGTCATGCGTACGAAATTAACTGGTAATATAAGTGTAAACTGTAAAAAAAATACATAGAATAATAAACTCTACAAAAGGATTCATTATTTGGCGTCTTTTTTTAACATAAAGTTACCTTGGGGATTGGTGCGGTTGTTTTCAGATAAAAAAATCTAATATAACATAGATACTGCAAGTAGAAAGAAAGAATATGTAGCAAACATAAGCCGCTCACACTGAAAAATACAATGGTCAAGGAAACTAACTTGAAAGGGTAGAACATTCCAAATTGACAGATTCTAGAGTGAATATTAACGACTAATACAATAGACTATGAAAATTAACACAGAAAATAGAAGATGAAACTACAAGTAGATAGACGGAGAAAAGTTGATTTATAATATTTAGTAGACACTGATAGAAGCTGATATTTATAGGTAAAAAAATTCAAAAACAAATTACAACAATAAATGACTCATCCTGTAATTGTTTGACTTGTGTATAAACTAGTTACATTCTGCATAGCAAGTGGAGATATGCTTTGGAACTCATCTCTATCATCAAATTTTGAGAGTGAGAAAAAATATTTCGACTGTGAGGTACCCTAGAATTCATGTTTTATCATTCAGAATAAACTAATTCTGATTGGTGTTTGCTACTAGGCAGTCATACATATAAATGAAAGATGTCAGAAACGTAAGGCATAAGTACAGATTAATAACACATTATATAAAATAGGATTCTATATGCACTATAGTAAAACATGTTATAGGAGACTGATGTGCAGCTTAATAAATTATATTATTTTATCTTAACCTGAGCGCAAGTGTATTTAATTTAATAATTACGTGAAAGTAACTTGATAGTTGATAATATTGGTTGCTGATTACGACTAAGATCAATTAAGATGATTGTTTTTATATATGACAAAAATCATGTTAATATATGATTCTTATATTATTAAATTTGTTGTCATGTTAATGAAAAAATCCGTGCCAAGTTAGAACTAGTTGAGGTTTGAAGGAAGTTGGCATGCTGGATAAAAAAGCTTAAGTTCCCCATTTTATGATCGTTGCAAATGAAAACAGAAATGGTCGCCAGGTATCGAATACAAATAGCAAATAGATTAAATTTTTTTATACCAAATGAAGCCTAATATCGTTAGATAGTTTGGGTTATCAATGACAAAAATATGTCGCTGTAGTTCATTTACTTTCAAGTTTGGTATCGTTAAAACAAAACAAAGCGAAAACTCTTGAACCAACTTCGTGTTGTAGCGATACTTATTTTTTCAATGAAACAGAATAAAATTGTCTACAAGACTTTTTGAGAAAAAAAAACTAATTATTAACCTCGGCCGTACTACAGTATACAAATTCTTAATATACAGAAGGTTAGAAGAGAAAACGCTTTATTCGTACAAATAAGAAAACACAATGAGAACGACAAAAATCAAAACGTTAATTTTTAAGTAGTGTGTGAAGTGTTCGATATGGATGTGAGAGCTATCTTTATTCACACTCTCAAGACGAAATTCTATCTTATAGATTGATTGAAGAAAATATTTTTTTTTGTTCTGCCAAAGAATATTTTAGATGAAATGAAGAGACATATAAAGAAGACTAAATATCACCGTCGCCTTGTTTTAAACCTCAAAAATTGAAAAATCAACATAGTAACAATTATTCTAAGACCATATTCTGATGGTTTATAGTTCTTACAT